GATGCTAGAGGAATGACTGTTACACCCCTAGCATGGTCCCATCACTGCCTTCTGCATTTTGAGGTTGAGGCTCATCTTCCCCATCGAGGTGGAGCCCTGTTTTGATGGGCTACCCTTGGAGTCTAACAGGACCTGAGGGCAACTACCATATCAGCAACAGGCCATTTGCTCAGTGCTCCGGTAGGTTTTTAGATTAATCAGTTATCCACAGAATCGCCCCTGGACACCCTCTTCTCTGATTCCATGGTCCCAGGTCACCATGTTCTACAGATGGCCAAGTGAGTGGGGCCAGCCAACATGCTGGTTGGTGGAAGGACCACATCACAGCTGAGCATTCACCAAGGTTCTCGTGCCGCAGGCTACTTTGCCTTTTGTTTTTCCTGCCGTTTATCTCAAGTTTTTCCTATTAATTAAATGGTGAATGAAATGAAAGGCCCCTGTGTAAATATTTGTGGTTTGAAAAGGCCAGCTCAAAGAGGTTAGGAATTGATTCCTCTTTATTAAAACACCTTTTGTCTAGCGAATGTTCTACCAGCAATCGATACCTAATTAAATCCTTATCGATGTCTTACAGTCATGCTGCTTCCCAGTGCTTGTGCTGTTCGAGCCAGGCTTCCCTCTGTTGTTCTGTTACCAACCTCATTTCCCAGTGCTGCCCCTGATTCCCTGTGGGACCTTGGCAAATCACTTTCTCTCCCTCCCACCCCCGTATTGTGGTCGCACCTAGGAGGCCCCAGTTATGGAGCAGGACCCCAGTGTGCCAGGCGCTGTACAAACCCAGAACAAAAAGACAGTCCCTGCCCTGGAGAGTTTAGTCTGTCTTGGTTACTTAGACTGTAAGGTCTAGATCCTCAAAGGTATTTAGGTACCTAATCCAATGGAAGTTAAGTGCCTAAATGCCTTTGAGACACTGATCTTCAGCTCTTTGTGGCAGGGACTGTGACTGGGAGCCTGGGACCATGGCTGAGACGTCTAAGCACTATCGCACCCCGAATAATAATAATAGTTGGGGTAACGTGGCTGCTTCTTCCCCATTTTCGGTGTTCTTAGCGCAGGATTTGTGTTCACTTTCTTTTAGAGAACACAGGTAGGATTTTCAGCATCTCTTGGGGGATTTGGGTGCTCAGTTCCCATTAAGTTTGTTGGACACCAGGGAGTCCAGATCCCTTTGAAGATTTCACCCCACATCTCTGGTTCTTCCTAACTTGGGCTATTCCCCCACTCCCAGTGAGCCACAAGGTGGTGCTGCAAGCCCAGTTTTGTTTGGTGGCATCCAGCATTCCGGACCTGCTTGTCTCTCTGTCTCATTCCGAGAAATAGATCGTTTTTTCACTCATTTATTTGAAAGTGAAGGGCCTGATCCTGCCCTCGTTGCAGTCACTGGGAAGTTTGCTGTCGACTTCAATGACAGCAGGATCGTCCCTTAAAAAACAGCAGCTGATTCTGCCACAGCACAAGATATGCATTGTCCTGCGTAGTCTGATGCGTGTAGCCCTGTGGAGGTGGCACACGCATCATACAGCCCCCTCACTCCAGAGCTGAGCCCACCAACTATTGGGGCATTAGAGCTTGGGGCCAGTGAGGGTGGGGATAGGTTACTGCTACACCCCTAGGCTCTGATTCTGCAGTCTAGACCCCTGCACTGAGCTCCAGTGTGGGGCCGCATGAATCGGACTGCAGGAGCAAGGCCTGAATTTAAAGCCCTGCAGCTAGAGAGCACCACATTTGCTTAAACTGGCCCTGTCCATCCTTCCTTCCTGACTGCAGCTGTTGCGCAGTGCTTTGGTTTAAAGTGACAGAGTACAAAGGTTATAATTTTAGGGCTAGATTATTGTGCCTTTAGTCACAACCCCTGAGCGAGGGATGGTGCATAAGCTGCCGTAGCAGGGGTGGGGAGGGTCTGTTGCTCAGACCCCTCTCTCTGATTGCCCCTTGCTCCAGTAACAATGTTGCTGGCTTATACCAGGGACAAATTAGGACAGGCACTGAGTGGCCAGCAAGCAGGGAGGGCTGAAGCCAAGACTCCACTCATTCTCTACCCCATCCTGCTAAGGAGGGACTATGCATGCCCAGTACCTGCTTATCCCTCTGCAATCGGACCCAGTTCCAGGAAGCCAGTGCAAAGCATGGGGGGAGTTCTCACTCCCCTGTCCTGCAGAGGTGTGTAATTCAAGCCCTCCTCCTGATTTGGCATCAGCAGCGGGGGAAGATGAGATTGTCCTTGCTTTGCTTACTTTAATGGAGTGAATACATTGAGCAGTCCAGGAGTGGAGCACGGCTGGGACCGCTGGCGCTGATCCCAGCTGGAGCACAGAGGTGTGGGTCAGACAGATGTGATCCCGACAGCGCATGTGGCCATTGGAAAAGATTCCAGCTGGCCACACAAATGGGAAGACATGAGCTGCTCAGTGCCAGTTGCACAACCATGATCTTGTGCTGGTAAGAGGCCCCCAGCCCCTGCTTGTTTATCAGCAGGGGAAAGTGCCTCTGGTGGAACAGCCCCATTCACCTGCATCAGGCAAGCCTGGCATTGTTGCAGGGCCCTGTTCTCTTTTGTCTGGTTCTTTGTCTCTCCCCCGCTTGGCAGAATACCACAGGGCATGAACCCCGACAGCACAGTCTGACCTACACTGCTTTGCCCTACACCTCAGAAGAAATTCTCCTGAGCATATCACAGAACTCTGCCGAGAGGAGTTAGGTCCCACAGCACCAATAAGTGTAATTATCTCCCTTGAACAAATGGGGAAACTGAGGCACAGCGCCACAACATGGGTCACAACATGAGTGAGCGCCAAAGTGAGGACTAGAGCACAGGGCTCTTGGTCTAACAACCTCCTTCCCCCACCTCTGACCTGTAGACCAGGAGAGCAGAGTAGAAGCAATGGGTTACCAACTGCTATATAGCACTGCACAGCTAATGGCAGAGTTGTGTAACATCGTCACTTCCCTGTTGCCAGGTGGTAGGAAAAGTTTTACATTGAGAGGCCTATGAGGGCTGGGTAACATTTCTGCATCCACAACCCCTCTAGATTTTTCCATTCATTCCCCTGAAAGCAACCCCTGACTTTTAGTCCCTGCCAGCTGGCAAACCCCTCGGGCATTCCCATGACACAAAGAGTGAACACAAACCCACGGATCTCCTGCCACAGGGCTTCCCTGAGGAAGGGAAATATCTGAGGAAGAGAGACATGTTGCTGCAGCTGCAGGGAGGCTGGCAGGTCATGAAGTCCTTCCCTGCCCGCCACCCGACAGGCTGAAACACCTGTGTGATTGCTCCTGCTCACACTCCAATGGTGCGTAGTGTGGATTGCGAGTCACATGGTGCCCACACAGCTTGGAGGTGGTGCTGAGCTTCCTGGGGAAGTGGAGTGTCACCCTGGCTGGGGGCACATCCCCTTATCCTCCTGACTCTCCTCCCACTTGTAAAGCTAGATGGAAACCTTACAATGAAGAAACCAATCTAGGGAGATTGTGTTGATTCATTGCAGTTCATGTGACTTACCTGAACATCTTCAAGCACAACCACCTTGGGGATGTCAGGGCGGGGGAAGTGTCATGTGTCAGGATGGTATCATCAAAGGCTCCTAAGCGAGTTGGGGGCCCAGCTCAAGGGGATCTAGGCCTCTTTGAACACCCCATCCTAAATGCACATTTCCTTGTTAATTTCAGGCACGCTAAAAAAGGGAGACTGGCTTCCGCAGGCAGATTCCTCTGCCCTATCAGAAAATTCACCAGTTTGCACATAATGGCTTTTGGTAATTACACATTAATTTGCCTGCTCGGAACAAGGAAGGAGCCGCGGGGTGAACTGCTGGTCAGAGGAGAACAGAGTTTGCAGGAACATTTGATCTTGTTCTCCCTGTGCCACTGTCTGGGTCCTGAGCCAGATTTTGTGCTCTCGGTCACAGCAGAGTAAAGGCAGAAAAACTTCACTGAGATAAATGGAGTGATTCTGTACCTGGGAGCAGAATGAGGCTCACTAAGCCCAGAATGTGGCTAAACATGTGTGTTCACAGAAAACAACATATTGGGCCCAATTCTCATCTCACACTAGTTTGCTGTAACTCCATTGTCTTCAGCTGAGTTATCCCGGCTTCCACTGGTGTAAGGAAAAGGGGAATCAACTCCACTGGTTTTGTAACTATGCATTCAGCACCCACCCGCTCATGCACCCCTTATTCCTGGGAGCGGTCCCGCTGAAACCTTAGAGCCTCCTCCTGCAAATAAAGGCTGTGAGACCCAGCCCCCTAGGGTTGAATTCTCAAAGCCTATCTCTGATGCCCCCTTTCAGGTTTGGGATTCACTCTGAGTCCAATCCTGCAAGAGCTAATGGGTGGATTATGCCCGATCCTGTCCTATTGAAGCCAGTGGGATTACTGCATGTTTGGCAGCATGCATGATCATGGCCTGAGCATCCACATACCCACTTGAAGTCCAGGGGAGTGAAGGGCTCCCAGTAGAAGAGAAGGGAAGCTAAAGCATTAGAACACTAATGGTAAGATCTCTAAAGGTGCCTAGGGAACATTGGTTTTTATGGATATAGGACTTGAGCTGGGCAGAAATGGGGCTCCCGACTTGTGAGTATTTGAGAATTTTAAAATTTTCCCATCCCAAATGAGAATAAAGTTGAAATCTCAAAAATGTTCATGAAGCGACAAAGTGGGGGGAAATGGTTCAGGTCAATTGCAGCCTTCCAAGATGTTTCATTTTGATTTTAAACCTGTTTTTAGTATAAATTTACCCCAATTTCAAAACAAAAAAAGCAATTTCAAGTCAAAACACCAGAACTTTTGTTTTGAAAGTGTCAAAATGGGATGTTTTGATAACTTTGAAATTAAAAAATAATTGAGTTGAAATGGACACTGTTTTGTGAACAGTTTCAATTTTCATAAATTGGCATTTTCCTGGGAAAAAACATTTTGTTGAAAAATTCCTGACCAGCTCTTTATTGGGTACCCAGATCACATAGATGCCTTTAAAAATCTTAGCCTCTAAGCAAATTTTCCATTTTCTATTTATTCAGTGCTAGGTATTTTCTAGACATCCATTCCCAGACACTTATTCATTGCCAACATTTTCCGTGCCTCCATTTCAACATCTTGCCTTTTCCCTTCAGATTTCTTCATTTATCACTGCCACAGAGATTCAGCAAGGCTGTCTTGTAATCACCACTTGTGTCCTCCTGACAGAGGGAAGAACAAAAATAGAATGGAACGTGGAGGACCATGCTAGCATTCTAGCTCCATAGGATAAACTCACATCTGACAAGGGCTTTGAGAAAGACAGACTCCATTGACTTCAATGGATTTATTCCTGATTTACACCCCATTGTAAGTGAGAGAAGAAACAGGCCTAATAGGTCTTCCCCTCAGTGTAATATATTGAGCCCGATTCTCCTCTCACTTATACTGGTTTGCAACCAATCAGGACTAACTCCACTAAGTCAATGGAGTAACTCAGGAGTGAAAAATCATGTAAATGAAAAGTGGATGCAAGCCCGTTGTACTCAAGGTTCAAACTGCCTGAGCATTTACGCACCATTCTCCCCACTCACTGGCAGAGAAAGGGTGGAGCACTTAGTTGTGAAGCATCAAATTTGTACCATCGCCACTGCAAATCCCAAAGGAGCATAGAGCATTGCTGCTTACAGATCAAGGGCCTACAGAGCATCCTTAAAATGGTCTGACTGGCTGCTCAATCTACGTCCATCACTGATTTCACATTGCACCACCGAGGTTTTAGTGCCGCTGTGATCGCTGGCAGCGTAGAATTCTTCATTGGTCAATGTGCTTCGTAAGTCAAGTTTTTAGGAAACAGACAAATCTCTCAGTCTCTGTCGAGGGGAGTGTTAATGAGAAAGTGATGAGATGCTCATTTCATCCTCTCTGGGTATTTTGGGGGACCTACTGCAACGTCTCAGCAGGAATTATTATTCAGTCAGGACTCTCGACGACCGATCATTAATCAACATGACAGATACTGACAATGTAGATTAGAAGAAGGGACCTTAATTACAGAAAGATTTCCCAGGGGACTGCTCGTGGGGGCCTCTGTGCTATTTGCACAGGGGAAGGGAACAATCCATAATGACAGAATGGGAGAACGCTGGGATTTCAACCCCATTGTAGAATGGGGCTTTTTACTAGGGATGAGCAACCAGCTTGGAAACCAAAAGAATCCAACTCCAAAGCATTCGGTGGGTGGATGGGGCGTTGGAAAATGTTCAGTTTCTAGACCTGTCACACACAGTATATGGGCCAGATACCCGGTTAGTGTAAATCACCATAGCCATTTTTCCTCCAGTCCACCCAGAAGGCCTCTGGACAATGCAAGGGTCTCTCCTCCAGCCCAAAGAACGTTCTAGAGTGGAAAGGAAACAGGCAGGGACCAGCATCTGGTGTTTATTGTTTTATATGATCTGTGCCCTCTTGTGCTTTACATGATTAAGGAGAAGAGCATCAATGCATTAGACTCTGTGCAAAGTGTGCATTCACAGCTGCCGCGTGCCCCTGAGCGAGTTAAGCCAAACACCTTTGGGGTGGCGTTCTGGGACAGGGCGTGTTTAAACACACCGGAGTCTGAAGAGTCACCGTTGTGCCCAGGGGCGAGGAACGGGACAGCTGGTTCCAGCTCCCCATAGGAGGTGCCAGAGAGAGGATCTGTGTTCCGAGAGTGTGCCTAGGGAACCCAGCATTGGGGCAATGGTTGGATTCTGTTTAGGCTTCAGGGGCTTCAAAGTCTGGGCAATCCAGAACCTGGCATTCCCTTTGCTGCAGCCCTAGGGAGCGGCTGGACAGGGGCGCTCGCTAGGATCTATGACAGAACGACACGGCTGTAATCCCCTTGGAGGAGTTGGTCCAAGAGATTTCCATGCCCCTTGGCTCTGCATGGGAGAGGACAGGCAGAAAGCTCTGCCTGCAACATTTTTGACCAATCCAAACAGGGCCACGGCCCTCTGCAAAACCCCGCCCTTGGCGCCATCCCCTGGCTGCAAAATCCCAGAGATTAAATGGGTGACTGTTTTGCCCCTGCTGGCTCCAAACTGCTCTGCTAGGCCAGCTGGTGGTGTTCAGCTTGACAGAGGAACTAGGGCAGAATGGGCAATGTGTGCTGAACCACACAGGGGCAGGGAAGGGAGCTCGGACAGCGGACACCAGCTGCGTTCAACCACAGTGCTTCAGCTGGCTGAGCTCAAAGCATGTGGGAGCAGAACTTGCTTGGTGCAGAGCCTATGGCAGTAGAGCCAGCTTCCATCAGCAACTAGTCTGAGCACAAGTCCTATCACCTGCAGGTCACATTCCATGACTCACCTGCTCAGGCAGGTGTTTCCCTAATGGACAAGGAGGGATCCCCAATTCCCTCTGAAGTTTGACTCTTTTCGGAGGACTTATGGAGGAGAGAGTCACAATCTTACTGGGGGGTAGTCCTTCACCCAGAAAACTTATGACAGCACCCAGACACCATGGTGATGGACGTACCAGAAAGGCATGTCAGTGATTCATAACAACAACAAAACTGCTGCTTACCAGAATCATGGTGGAGAGGGATTTGCCTGCGATCTTTAGGAACTCAGCCTTGATGAGATTTAAGTCAATTTCACTCCTGGAAACGATGACCCTTATGAGGGTCCCATCACAAGTGCCTGCTCCCTGCAATGACACATTTATCACTTTGGCAGTGCCACCAGGTATTAGTATGATCTCATTTTCCCTCTTTTTGGGGATGGGGGTGGGGAGAAGAGAAGGCAGATTTAGTGTTTGCAAGTTGGTCCAAGATGGAAGAGACCAGGTTTCAGATGCTGCTGGGAATGAATTTAGCACATCTCTGCCTCTCACCCTGGTGGCCCACTATTCATGTCACAAAACCCATCCTGCAGTTTGGTGTGACTGCCAATCTTTGTCCATGAAAAATTCAGGAGCCAAAGACCTGCAGGGTTGCAAGCATGAACGAAGGTTTATTGGTGCATACAGCACAGCTAAGCATGATAGCTTTACAGAGCATCTGCCCAGGGTTCCAGCCAATTTGTTTAGTCCTTTACCCTTATGAAGATGAGGGTAGCAAAAAACTTGGGGGAAGCCTCTCTCATTTGTAGTCTTCCACTGAGGGGGACTGCATAGGCCCCACATTTCTTTGTTACATCTATGATCAGTGGGCTAAAGAGCCCCATTAGCATTGACACATTCAGCCTCAAAGGCTTCAGGGATTTTCATGTACTTCCCCCTAGACTTCTTTTGTTTGTTTTAATGTCACTGAGAAAAATGCATCCTAAAAACCAGCAAACTTATTGGTACCAGAACAACTTAACCACCACTAGGGGCAAAACCCAGCCCGAATTTATACCGAGTGCAAATCCGATGACCTCTGTGGGGGTTGCACTTATGCAGCTGAGGTCGGAACTGGACTCCTTGTGCCAGTCTCAACTCCACAGAAGCAAGTTCCTTCAGGACTTCAACCCTACATGTCCCTCTTCTTCCAAAGGGGCTAGGCCTGACTCTGCTCTCATTTGCACCAGTTTTACCCCACTGCCCCTTCAGTGCTTCAGACTGAAGCGAGAGGAGAAGCAGGTCCGCTCTGAACAGCCTGTGCTATAACAGTCTTACCTTCAAGGCATGGTACAGCCGCTCTGCAAAGTAACTGTGGATGTTCCTCGTGCATTTCACTAGACACAGGAGAAGGTTCAGTTAGTGCTCAGGATCAGTCTAACCCAGGGACAGCAGATGATAGTAATTCAACTCCCTATCGCCTTCTCTAAACCGTCCCATGGGATCATGGCAGCTAAGAAGTGCCCCGGTATTATGGGATGGATGTGCTTAGCCCACTATTGCAGTAGAAGAGAAGCGTAGACAAGAGTAAGGGTGTCCTGTGTCCCTTACCAATAGCCAGCATGGCGTCTTCTAGCGAGCCGTGGGTTTCACTCTGGATGCTGTCTTCTAGGCTTTTACTGGCGAGCTTCTGGTATTCATCAAAGACTGTGGGAAACAACAAACGAAGGACTTTTTAATCCAGGCCAAACAATTCCCCAGGCATTTTGTGCCTTCTTTCCACTGGTTGCGCTTCTGAGGGGCCTGACCCAAAGCCCATAGAAGTGAATGGCCTGATTCCCATTGACTTCTGTGACTTTAGATCAGGTCCAAAAATGCTGACACCACATAAACCCAAGTAAATATCCGCATGTGCATATGATGGGTAAGAATGCACGAAGATGGGCACTGGTATACGTAATTACTGGCTTGCATTTGGAAATACAGGTTTGCTCATTGCATGTTCATTTGGAAATCTGGCCCTTAATCCCTATCTTTGGCTGTTGATCTAAATCAGGTTCCAGAGGGATATGCATGGCTCTAGCATTCAGTTTTGTGTTTGCTGCTGTCACTGGCTCAGGGAGCCGAAGGAACACTGAACTAAAACAGGATCTGGGTTGCTCGTGGATGGGGAAAAACACCAGGGGAAGCTTGGAACTTGTTGTTTTCCTCCATGCAAAAAGAAACAAACCACTAAGTGAGAAAATCATAAGCAAAAATATAGAGGTAAATTCCAAGATCTTTGGATTTACTCAGATTCCTGCAGAAAGTTCATGTTCAACTACAGCAGTGAAGATTTGTTTTCTCTCTATGTAGAATGTAGACACTGCAGGTGTGGAATTATTAAGCCTCAAGTTTGATTTCTAGACCTGCATACAGAGCTAATCATTAAAGAAGAGCTGTGTATTAGGGAAGTCATGGAATCTCCTTCACTGGGGATTTTCAAAACAAGGCTGGGTAGCCATCTGTCTTGGATGGTTGAGACGCAACAAATCCTGCCTCTTAGCAGGGATTAGACTAGATGACCCTTACAGTCCCTTCTAACCCTATGGTTCTATGTAACACAGTGAACTTCAAATTTAAACCCCAGCAGTGTTCAAGCTTATCTCCTCTAACCTCAGTGCTTAGATACTACAGTGAAAGACACTAACAGATTGGAAATGACCTTCTCAGCTCAGGCCTATATCAGAAATAAGTTGAGCTGGAATAGAGTTGAAATAAACTGAATTTTAAATGGATACGATTACTCAGCTCTCAGAGAAGTAGGGGGAAATTAGGGAAAAGCAGCTTCTTGCAAAAGGCCAAACCAAACCCATATTGTTTTTACTGTGACATTAAAATTTATATGAATGATTGATAGAGGTTTAATGTTCTTTAATATGACCTTAAAAAGTAATATAAGTGCAATGTGTGCATGTGAATCATGATGCATTTAATTAGGTGAGTAGTATCAGAGGGGTGGCCGTGTTAGTCTGAATCTGTAAAAAGCAACGGAGGGTCCCGTGGCACCTTTAAGACTAACAGAAGTACTGGGAGCATAAGCTTTTGTGGGTAAGAACCTC